AGGAATAAACAAGATTTATGATAAAATTAAGGAATTAGGATATATTTGGAAGGGATACCTGAACTGATAGTGTGGTTATTTAAAGTTAAATTTGATTATGGTCTTGTAATTGCATAAAGCTCTAAAACAGGTCTAGGATTAATAGAAATTTAAGTTAGAAATAGACTATTTTAAATATATTAAGCTATTTGAGGGAAATGGAGAGGGAATATTTGATTTACCGATTGAGTTATTTATATATATTTTGTTTTTGGATTTTTGATTACCCCAGCACCACGGTGTGTCTCAAGCACTTTGTCTTAAGAATTAAAAAACCAATAAAATTTGCTTAAAAAAAAAAGAAAATATGCAGAGAAGAAGAAAGATAATAAATGGTTAGGACACTAAATGACAATCGGTTGAGAGATCTAGGTATGTCTAGGCCATGGAAGAGAAGGATTGGGGGGGGGCATGATGGCTGTTTTCCACTACTTGAGGGCCTGTCATGAAGAGGAGATCAACTTATTCTCTAGGGCAACAGAAGGCAGAACAAGAAGTTCATGGGTGGAAGGTTGTCAAAGGAAGATCCAATCTAGAAGTAAGGAGAATTTTCTGTCAGTGAATGCAATTGATCAATGGAATAGCTGGCCTCCTGGCATTGTGGATGCTCCATCACTGGAGGTTTTCCAGAATAGACCAGACAGTCATTTGACTGGGGTTATATAAAGCTCCTGCCTTGAGCAGCGAGTTGGACTAGAAGACCACTGAAGTGCTTTCCAACCCTATGATGCTATGATTCTAGATTTAGAGGCAGCTTAGAAAATTGGTACAGAGCAGCCACATGAAATTGCTTCTAGTAAGGGGCCTTTTTAAAGAATTTTTTAAAGCTAAATTAAGATAGAATACAAACTCAAATAAAAAAGATTTCTTCTGCCATTTTAACAAACCCTTTAGGTAATCTCTTTCTTCCTTTTTTCCCTATTTTACTATTTTTGTAATTTAATTTTTCATTCACAATTGCGTTAAAGCCTCCAGAACTGTCTGGTATTTTTAGAGTTAATTCAGATGAGACTGAGAGAAGGAGGGAAAAGCGCGCGGAAGGGAATGGAAGTGAATCTTTGCCCTCCAGGTTAATTGGAAGATATGAATCATGACCCCAAAATAGGGGAGAGGAAATGCCTGGAATATTATGTGCAAAGAAAGGGAAATTCAGATTTTGGCATCCTCCACGTCGTGCTGACACTCCATTACACTAATAAAGACTTTTTAGGTTAAACAATGCCTGAAAGTTCTTTGAAGTGTTTCTTTAGTCAGACAAATGACATCATGCCAAGATCTTCAAAACTTTCGACCCCGTCACAGTAGAATTGAAACTTCCTAGGCTTTTAGGGAGGATTGCAGCTTGTTAAAACCTTGTCGGGGCTCCACCTTAAGGCCTCCCCCTAATAAGGCACCCGGACTCTTTGTAGTAGCAGGTCAGGCTCACTATGAAGTGAAACGTATTCTTGACTGTAGAATTTTTAAAGGGAAATTGCAGTACCTAGTACAATGGAAGGGGTACCCGCTGTCCAAAGGTACTTGGATGAAATCTAGCGATATGAAAACTGACCAACTCATCAAAAAGTTTCATGAAAAAAAACCCAACAAACTAAGAAATAATCCCTGACATATGCTCTTGTTCACATACAGGACTTATCCTTTTTGTAAGGGGGGCCGGATGTCAGCGCTGCTAATATTGAATATTCTTGCTTTGATAAAATATGCAGAACTGTCTGGTATTTTTAGAGTTAATTCAGATGAGACTGAGAGAAGGAGGGGAAAGCACGTGGAAGGGAACGGAAGTGAATCTTTGCCCTCCAGGTTAATTAGAAGATATGAATCATGACCCCAAAATAGGGGAGGGGAAATGCCTGGAATATTATGTGCAAAGGAAGGGAAATTCAGATCTTGGCATCCTCCATGCTATGCTGACACTCCGTTACACTAATAAAGGCTTTTTAGGTTAAACAATGCCTGAAAGTTCTTTGAAGTGTTTTATTATTCAGACACATGACATAGTATTTGCCTAATTTTGGAAAGATGAAAACTTACCACCTGACCAGACTATAATCACGAAAATTTTAGAATGTGCAGAAATGGATAGATTAACTTTAGAGATTAAAGAGAAAGAAGATTCAATTTACTTTAAAACATGGGAAAAATTTTTATCAATGGTTAGCAATACAATAGAATGGGAAAGGATTGTGAAATTTAATGGGATGAATGATATTTACTGACTAGGCTTTACTCTTATGATCATTGTTATTAGTGATTATAATTATTTAGCATTATATTAATTACTGTTTATTTTTATGATTATTGTTACTTTCTGTTACTACAACTGTTCAGTATTGTATTAACTATCGTCATTTAATATTTATACCCGGACAATAATCTGCTTGCTAAAACGTTGAATTATTGTAGGGGGCAACCCAATTATTGTATTTACACCTATCCCTATCCCAACTCTATTCCCCAACCCCATCCAATACCCATACCGATTTTATCCCTTCCCCACCCTTATAAAATCTAATAAAATGTTTTTTTTTAAAAAACAGAGGTATAGTGTCAAGACAACAAGAAGTGATAGTACCAATTCACACCACGCTGGTGAGTCCACATTTAGAATACTACACCCCATTCTAGTCCCATGATTCAACACATGTTGAGGCCCTGGAAAATGTGCAGAGAAGAAGAAAGATCATAAATGGACTGGACGCTAAATGACAATTGGTTGAGAGCTAGGTATGTCTAGGCCATGGAAGAGAAGGATTGGGGGGACATAATGGCTGTCTTCCACTACTTGAGGGGCTGTCACGAAGAGGAGATCAAGTTATTCTCTAGGGCAACAGAAGGCAGAACAAGAGGTTCATGGGTGGAAGGTTGTCAAAGGAAGATCCAATCTAGAAGTGAGAAATTTTCTGTCAGTGAGTTCAATTGATCAGTGGAATAGCTGGCCTCCTGGTATTGTGGATGCTCCATCATTGGAGGTTTTCCAGAATAGACCAGACAGTCATTTGACTGGGGTTATATAAGGCTCCTGCCTTGAGAAGCGGGTTGGATTAGACCACTGAGGTGTTTTCCAACCCTATGATGCTATGATTCTAGATTTAGAGGCAGCTTAGAAAATTGGTACAGAGAGGCCACATGAAATTGATTCTGGTAAGGGGCCTTTTTAAAGAAAAAATATTAGGCAAATTAAGATAGAATACAAACTCGAAAGAAAAAAGACAAAAATTGCAACAAGGATGGGCAAAACATTAAAAAAGGGAAATGTGCATTAAGAAAGACAAAAACAGATTTATATATAGTAAATCAGTTGAATGTTGATAAACATAGTGTAACAATATTAGTTTCCTACTCTCGCAAAGCAGGCCCAAAATTTGTGAATTTCTACCTCTAGTTGGAATCAATTTGACCTTAATCTACTGTGTGTAAAGGCAAAACAGATGAACCAACATTAAAGTTAAACATCAAAGACCTCTCTTAACCGTCTATTGTATTTAACTACAATGGCTTGTTATTTACGGTAAGTCACCCCAATCATTGTCTCTGATCTCTCCAGGATCAAATATAGTCATTTGATTCTTAATAATAACTTAAGATTTTGATTGAGGACTTTCCGAACAATTGTGTCTTATTCCCCAAAATCGTAAACCTCTGTTGTCGATTTATTTTATCAAAAAAGTTCAGTCTAAATTGTTTTCCAGTTAAATAAAATAAGTCCGTTCCCCAATCTTCTTAAGAAAGTCCAGTTTTATCACGCATCGAGTCTGTTTAACTCCAAATCTTTGGAACCCACATCCCCTTCAGCCTTCTCCAACCAGCCCGCAGTTTCCATCCATGGTCAGGCGCCTTCTGAGAAGTGGCTGTGCTCCCAATCCCAACTTCTTGGGAAGAGCTCAGATCATAAAGTCACCTGGGTCCATTTGGGCAGAGCCACCCATTCATGTGCGCTCATAGGATCATATGAAAAAGAGTTCTATGGCTTTTACATATCAGGACATAGTAAAGTCATCTGGTCCTTAACAGTTCTTAAAAATAGATAAATAAACCTCAGAGGAAAAAGAACAACACATGACATATTATACCATGTTATCATTTTCATTTAAAAGAAAGTCAAATTTTCTTTAAGGTTTTCCAACGAATGCCTACAAGTAAAGAGAGAAACAATATTTGGAGCAATGAAATGATATTTAAGGTCTGCAGATGAATGATCCTGAATTTAGAAGAAACCAGAGAATTGTACATTTGTTCATTTCACTAACACAATCCAGAGGACTGGTTACAATTTTTTTCCAGTGGATCACATTGCAGGTAGATAGGCAGGCTGTCTGGGGAGGGGGGACATTTATGCCATAAATTACAGCACGCTACACAGGAAATTCTTTGTATGCCATTTTTAATTCTGGAATGAAAAGGGAATCAATAAAATATACCTTGCGCTTCTTTTATTACAGATTCCAATCCCTCCTCTTTCTTAGCCCCCATTTTCGAGGCCCTGCTGCATATTTTTCTCTCTGTGACCTAATGGAGACTTCTGTGCAAGCAAATTTACAAAAGTACAGGGCATTTAGCATTTAGCAGATATAGGTTGTCCTCCTTCAAGAATAAAGCTGGTATGCTGGGTGCTCTTGGATGCAGCCCTGGCCAGCAGGAGGGAAGTTGGCTCCCCTGGAGCATCTAGCCTGATGTTGCTGCTATGTCCTAAAACCTTGGGAGCCACATTAAATAAGTCATAAAGATTTCGGGTATAGAGAGCTTTTGATCTCCCCTGAGAGTCACCCCTAGGAAAGCTGATTGTATAATTGTGTAAAACCGTCACGAACATCTGGAGCTCAGCACATCGCTAATCTTCTAACCTAACTAATCTAACTAGCATCACATTTCACTAGGCTCTGTTGCAAAGGTTAGTTGCTAGAAGTCAGAAACTACTGCTAGCTTTTAATGGGGGGGGGGGGAACCGTGCAAACGCCTTAGGCAGAGAAGAGACAAGCGTGTTTTTCGTCCAATCCGCGGTCAAACAGGCAACATCTGTGCTTAGCAAGCGGACAATACAGAAGACTGCATCTGTGCTTGACTTTAAAGGAGTTAAAACCATCGAGGACTATATTGCTAGAAAGGAGGTGAGGAGAGGGGAAGCGGCGAGGAACTTCCTCTTCCTGATCACTAATCGGAGGAAGATGGGGTGTGGGGATGATTTTGTGCTCTTTCCGGATTGAAGCAGCAGCTGGAAGGTGAGTGGAGGGCAGGTCGGAGGAGAAGCCGGGAGCAAGCGGGGCTGTTTGGTTTCCTCCACGGCGTCCAAGCAGAGAAGCAACTAATCTGAAGCATCTCAGCTGCTGCAAATCCCTTCCCTCCCCAACTTTTAAGTCCTCTGGTGCTGCAGGCTGTTAAACTGGGGGCTGCGATTTTCTGCTGGTGGGAAGATTTCAAAAGTCTCCTTCAAGTGAAGGTTGATTCTTTGGGAATGGCTTCCCCCCAGACGTTGTGAGTGCTGCGTCACTGGAGGCTTTTAAGAGGAGACCGGACAGCCATTTGTCAGGAATAGTAATAGGGTCTCCTGCCTGAGTAGGCGGGTGAACTAGAAGACCTCCAAGATCTCTTCCAGCTCTAATTTTCTATTATTATATTTGATTAGTGATTAATAAAAATCGTGTTTTCTGGGCCAATTTGTTTGCTTAACAATACTAGTTATATTCTTAGTGTCTACCCCTTTTCTCTAACCATTGATGAAATAAATTCCATGTTTGAAAATATTCTGTATCTTCTTTCTCTTTGATCCTCAACGTAAGTCTGTCCATTTCAACACAGTCCAATATCTTCTTGACTATCTCTTTGTCTAGTGGTGTTTCTTCATTCTTCCAGAGCTGAGCAAATACAATCCCTGCTGCTGTTACTACATGCAATGGTAAATATACACTTGGCTTATTACATTTTTCTGATATTATACCTAATAAAAAGAGTTTAGGTTTAAAATCTACATGTTTTCCTAACATAGTTTCTAACCAAGTGCGTATTTTTGCCCAATTTTTTTTTCTTTAACACAAGGTCACCACATATGGTAATACAAGCCAGGGATTTGATTACATTTCCAACATTTACTGGACATATTTTTAAGCATTTTTGCTAATCTAGCAGGTGGCAAATGCCATCTATAGAACATTCTATGTCAGTTGTCTTTATAAGAAATTGCCACGGTCACTTTACAATTTCTTTCCCAAAGATTTTGCCATTTCTCTAATTTTATATTATGTCCAAAGTTTTCTGCCTACTGTATTATTGTTTCTTTCACTTGTTCATCCTCCATTTTTGAATTTAATAGAAAGTTATATAGTTTCTTAATCAGTTTTTTTATCAGAGGTCAGCAATATCTGATCAAACATTGTCTGTTTTTTATAAAAACAATATATTTTCCCATCTTTATCATAGCTTGATTGCATTTGCAACTGAGGCCACCGTGATAATTCAGTACCCTGATCTACAAGCTCTTGTTTAGATTTTAATTTCCCTTCGGTATCCAAAATATCTTTATATGTCCATTTTTTTTCATATTTCACTTGTTTCGGGTGAACAAAGGCTTCCATGGTTGAAAGCAGTTCTGGGATTCTTAAGTAGATTTTAGCTTTTATCTTTTCTCACACAAGTAGTAGTGTATTTTTTATATAATGATTTTTAAAGTATCTATAAATCTTATTCTTCTCATACCATAGAAATGCATGCCATCCTAGTTGCGGATCATGTCCTTGTAGATCAGTGGTTCTCAACCTGTGGGTCGTTACCCAATTTGGGGTCGAATGACCATTTCACGGGGGTCGCCAAACAACCCTGTCCGCCATTTTTCCCCCCTTAGCTGTGTTACTCCCTTTTATTCTATTGGCTTTGAAAGCCAATAGAATAGACTCTCTTGAATAGAGTCTAATTCTATTGGCTTTCAGAAGCCAATAGGAATTGCCCAGGCTGTCTCTGCCCTGTTGAGCCCGCCAAAAGTCCCATTCTGCAAACAGTGCTGCACCAGTTGAGTAGTCCTCGCCTTATGACCAGGTGGGGGTCGCGGCATTAAAAAGGTTGAGAACCACTGTTCTAGATATAACAATCTTTTATATCTGAGAGAGATTCATTCTTTTAGCCATATTAAGGCCCAATCTGGTAATCTATATCATCCATTTTCTTTGGATTCTTGTAGCATTTTCAGTTTAATTCTGGCTTTCCTTCCTTGCCAAATAAATTTCAAAATCGAAGTATTTAAATCATCAAAAAAATTCTTCTGTTTTTATAGATGCTGTTTGGAACAAGAAGAGCAGTTTTGGTAAACTCTTCATTTTCACAGTAGCTATTCTTCCTAACACTGATAGTTGTAAGTTTTTCTATTTTTCTAGATCTAATTTTATTTGTTACGTAGTTATCTTTTATCATTGTACATCTTGCTGTTAGGTATATTTCCAAATATTTAACTTTTCTAACTATTTGAAAATCCATTTTTTCTGACAATTGTTCCTTTTACTTAGATATAAGGTTTCTAACTATAACTTTTGTTTTTTCTCTATTTATCTTCAGTGCTGCTACTTCTCCAAATAACTCAATCCTTTTCAATAGTTTAGGGCAGACATGTCAAACTCGTGACATCTCCGTGACGTATCGGGATTGTTTTGCCATTGCTGGTAATGGGGCAGGAACGGCTTCCGGGTGACGCGTCTGGCCCGCCGGCTGGCAGTTTGACACTCCTGGTTTAGGGGTTGTCTCCAATGTTTCTTCTGTGATAAATACCAAGTCATCTGCAAATGCTTGTAATTTATACCTTTCGTCTTTTATCTCCATTCCTCTAATTTCTGGGTCTTGTCTGATGTTCCTATTGAAAACTTCCAATGTTTTGGAATAGCAATGGGGATAACGGATATCCTTAACTTGTGCCTTTCTTTATGTTAAAATTCCCTATGTAATCCCCATTTACAATTACTTTTGCTGATTGCTTATGATTTATTGTCTAAATTAACGTATCTTGAAAGCATTTATAGAAACTCTGCAGGTAGTCCATCCGGTCCTGCAGTTTTATATATTTTCTCTTTTTATAGCTTCCATCAGTTCCATCATTGTTATTTTTGCATTTAGCCTGTTTTTAAACTTTTCTGGAATTTTTGGTAGATTGGCTTTTTCCATATATTGTGTTGTTTTTTTTCCAGAGAGATTTTTTTTTCCTATATCATATAGTTTTTCAAAATATTCCTTAACTATTTTTTATTGCCTTATTTTGGAATTACACATCTCCCTTCTCATCTTGCAATTTGTTTATCAACTTTTTCTCTCTCTTTTCAATTTATAAGCCAGCCCTCTTCCCAGTTTATTTGCATTTTTGAAAAAAAATTATTTTGCCATTCTGATTTGTTGAGCCAATTCTTCAGACTCTATTAGGTTTAGTTTATGTTTAATTATCTCCATTTGTCTTTTAAGAGGTTTTTTCTGGATCTTTTTGAAGTTCTAGCTCGAATTTTTTAAACTCTTCCCTTAGCATTGTATACTCTGGCTTTTTCTCGTTATACTTTTCAGCCGTATAAGTTGTAGCTAATCCTCTGAAGTATGCTTTGGCTGTATCCCATATGTACTGGAGTGAAGTGTCTTTTTTTTATTTTCTTTGAAAAAGAATTCCATTTCCTTTACTGCTATTTCTGAAATTCTTTCTCTTTTAATAAGAATTGATTCCATGTCCACCTTGATTTCTTCTTTACTCCTGTATAACTCAGCTTTATCAGATTATGGTCAGCTCAAATATTGGGTTCTATCTCAACCTCATGTATATTAGTTCTTAATTTAGGGGACATCTATATCATATCAATTCTAGACCATGATTTGTGTCTATTTGAATAAAATGTATATTGAGTCTTTTTTGGGTACATTTCTCTCCAGACATTCTATACGCAGATTTCTTTTGCCATTTTAACAAACACCTTAGATAATTTCTTTCTCCCTTTTTCCCCTATTTTACTACTTTTGTAATCTATTTTTTCATTCACAATTGCGTTAAAGCCTCCTACTAAAGAAATATTTTGATATTCCATTTCCAATATTTTCCTGTGTAGTTTTTGATAAAATATTTCTTGTTTATTGTTTGGTGCATATATTACTATTATCAACATCTTTTTTTGATTTATCGTCATTTCCACCATTAAAATTCTTTCCTTCAAGGCCCCTTCCAACTCTGTTACTCTGTTATCCATCAGTTAAAGCTACCACATCTCTAAAATTAGCTCAAAAGCCTTGACTGTAAACTATTTTGGGACAATTTTCCAGCTTTAAAGAAATAGATTTTCTCCATATATACTTTTGTAGGAGTGTGTATCTCTATCTGTATTTCTCTCTGTATGCATATATCTGGAATTATATAATCTATCCCCAACACTTCCAGATGTATTTAATGATAACCCTTTGTATTGCTAAGGTTTTGTGATTGACCAAAGTCAACAAGAAATTTTACCCAAATCAACAACTGAATTTGATTGAATGGATACTTGAACATAGATGTCGGCAGTATTCCATGTATCAGATGAATCATAAACAATGTAAGAGATTTGTTATGGTTCCGGCTAATAAAACACTTCAAGGAACTTCCAGGCATTGATTACCCTAAAAGTCTTTTATTGATTCAAAATGTTGGCACAGTCATAACGGGATCTGATGCTAAGATCTAAGTTCTCTTCCTCTGAGCAGTTAAATTATCAGCATGTTCCCTCCCTAAATTAGCTGTCATATATCACATTATCCAATTAGTGTGAAGGTCAAAGGTTTCCTTCCTCTTTCTTTCCCGGGGCTTTACCCCCACCCTCTTCTGCTCTGTATTAAGTGCAAAAGTACCAGACAGTTCTGCATATTGTCAAAGCAAGAATATACAGTATTTGCAGCGTTGACAAGATTATTCTATCATTGTGGCATGTTTGCTTTTTCATTGTAATGTATACTTTTTTCTTTTTTCACCCCTCACCATTTTATAAAAAATAAAGTTACACTTTTTCTTAAATCTTATAGAAAAGAGGATGGGAAGAAGAGCACTCTGGACAGCTAAGAATAACAAGCAACATTGAAAAGGAAATCAAACAGAGTCAGAAATCAAAGTATTTTCCATTTCCTTCAGAAAACCACACAATTGTCCTCCTCCTCCAGCAGCTCTTAGAAAAAAAGAGAGAAAATCAAGAAAGATTTCAAACTGGAATAAGTAGATTATTCAGAACTCAACGATTCATTACATGAAAAGTGAAGGGAAATTATTTTTCATTCAGTAAAAGAGAGAAATATCTGGAAGTAAGTTGGAGGAAAAGGTGAGTAGGAAAGTCAGGTAGAGCAGAGAGCCATGCAGGCCTCGCCCTGTGAGGAAGAAAACGGATTGAATGAAAGCACCACTAAACAAGGGATTGTCCGTATTTTTTACTTCCTCAAGAATATCAGCTGTGGAAAAGCTCCGTGCTTATGTTTATTGTTGGAAAACCACAGATTGCAAATCACAACTGATTATGCACAAGAGGAGCAATACAACAGAAAAGCCATACAAATCATCTGATTCTGGCAAAACCTTTAGTTTAATGAAGGACCCACAGAAGAGGAAAGCCATAAAAGCACTCCTAGTGCAGTAAATGCTTTAGTGAGCATGGCAGCGTGGTGATACATCAGAAGATTCACAGCAGGGAGAAAACGTATGACTGTACTGATTGTGTGAAAGTTTCATTAGAAATTCCCATGTCATGAGACACCATAGGACTTGCAGAGGAGAGAAACCCTTTGAATGTCCTCATTGTGGAAAATGTTTCAGTAAGAATTCCAACCTGGTGACACACCAGAGGACTCACTCAGGAGAGAAACCCTTTGAATGTCCTATCTGTGGGAAAAGTTTCAGTCACAAGTCCAACCTGGTGATACATCAGAGGACTCACACAGGAGAGAAACCCTTTGAATGTCTTGATTGTGGGAAAAGTTTTAGTGAGAATTCCAGCCTTGTGAAACACCAGCGGACTCACACGGGAGAGAAACCCTTTGAATGTCTTGATTGTGGGAAACGTTTCAGTGAGAATTCCTGCCTTGTGAAACACCAGAGGACTCACACAGGAGAGAATCTCTTTGAATGTCCTGATTGTGGGAAAAGTTTCACTATCAATTCCAACCTGATGATACACCAGAGGACTCATTCAGGAGAGAAACCCTTTGAATGTCCTCATTGTGGGAAAGGTTTCAGTGACAAGTCCAACCTGGTGATACACCAGAGGACTCACACAGGAGAGAAACCCTTTGAATGTCCTATCTGTGGAAAAAGTTTCAGTCACAAGTCCAACCTTGTGATACACCAGAGGACTCACACAGGAGAGAAACCCTTTGAATGTCTTAATTGTGGGAAAAGTTTCAGTCAGAATTTCAGCCTTGTGAAACACCTGAGGATTCACACAGGAGAGAAACCTTTTGAATGTCCTGATTGTGGGAAAACTTTCAGTGAGAATTCCAGCCTTGTGAGACACCAGAGGACTCACACAGGAGAGAAACCCTTTGAATGTCCTGATTGTGGGAAAAGATTCAGTCACAATTGCAGCCTTGTGAAACACCAGATGACTCACACAGGAGAGAAACCCTTTGAATGTCCTGATTGTGGGAAAAGATTCAGTCAGAATTCCAGCCTTGTGAAACACCAGAGGATTCACACAGGAGAGAAACCCTTTGAATGTCCTGATTGTGGGAAAAGTTTCAATCACAAATCCAGCCTGGTGACACACCAGACGACTCACACAGGAGAGAAATATTTTGAATGTTCTATCTGTGGGAAAAGTTTCAGTGGGAATTCCCACCTGGTGATACACCAGAGGACTCACACAGGAGAGAAACCCTTTGAATGTCCTGATTGTGGAAAACGTTTCAGTGAGAATTCCAGCCTTGTGGCACACCGGAGGATCCACACAGGAGAGAAACCTTTTGAATGTCCTATCTGTGGAAAAAGTTTCAATCACAAATCCAGCCTGGTGACGCACCAGAGGACTCACACAGGAGAGAAACCCTTTGAATGTCCTGATTGTGGGAAAGGTTTCATTGAGAATTCTAGCCTTGTGAAACACCAGAGGACTCATGCGGGGAGAAGTCTTTCAAATGTCCAGTCTGTGGACATTCCTTCACTCATAAATCATCCCTTATTGCACACGAGGAAATCCACATGAGGCAAAAGTTGAAGAATTTAGAAAAGGCTTGAAATTCATTTGTGATCTCCCAATGAAACTGTATGTGAGAAATTGACTATTTGAATTGTGGTCTGAATCTTTTTACTCAAACGTTTCTCAGGATTAGACTTGTAGATGGAGAGAAAGGGAAAATGGAAAGGGCTAACTGCCAATGTCTGGTTAGCAACAGCAGCAGCAGCTACTAGATATTTCCTTTTGTAAAAGTGGATTTCCTCAGAAAGGCTTCTGGGTGGTAGTTTTGTATATTGATTATATAATTCCCACATGTAGAGTTTCAGGTCTTCTGCCTTGGTTTCCTCCAGATTTTGAGGCCCAAAATTCCTCAGCCATTGTTGAAAAGGTCCTCAAGATATAATTGTCATCACTTTTTTTTAAACACATTTTATTGTTTTTTTTAAATTCTTAAGAAAAAGGACCCACCGTGGTGGTTGGGTGGTCAAACATTCAAAAGTAAAAATATATATAAACAACACAACTCAATAAATTTCAATATCCCCTCTCTATTCCCCTCAATTAATATGATAAATTTAAATATTCCATTTCTATTTTAAATTTCTTTTTTTATATATATATAATTTTTTTATTTTTCCAAACTCTCCCCCATACGTATACCGTGATATTTATCAGATGTTAACATACATTCTTTTTACATTCATATATAAGATACTTTTAATAAAATTAAATAAATACATACACATGACTTTTGGTGTTGCTCGCCCATTTCCCCTTTCACTGTATCCACACTCCTTCTTCTCTACCTTCTTTCTCCTCTTCCCTACTTCCCTCTTCTTCCTCTCTTTCCTTCACCACTTCTCCCCACTTCTATTCTCCTCCAACCTTCCTTCTTCCTTCTCATTCTATTTTAAATTTCTATCACTATTAAACCTGTATTATAACTTTATCAGTTTACAATTACAATAGTTTAAATTTAAAACAAGAAATTATCAATTCTAATTCTTAATCTCTCACATCTCTCATTTTATCACCAATCTCATTTATTTCTTCTTCCACTACACAATAGATATCCTAATAGCAATAAAATATTGATCAGCCCTATATATATGTAATCCCAAAGTCAATCCATCTCTTTAAAATAACGAGATAATATTAAACCTTAATTCATTCAAATTCATTAAACAAAATTCAAATTTTCTCCAATTACTTATCATGCCTTATCATGTCTTTGTTGTCATACAAGAAATCCATCCTAGTAATTTAAAACATTCCATAAATTATTAAAAACATCCCAATCTAAACAGTCATCATTTTTTCAATTCCAGTACATAATAATTTTCATATATTTCCCAAACGCTACATAATACAATCCAATACATTCTTAATCTGTTTAAAATATCTATTCTAATAATCACGCTATGTATGTATGTATGTATGTATGTATGTGTGTGTGTGTATATATATATATATATATATATATATATATATATATATATATATATATATATATATATATATGTCTTTAATAATTTTGAATTTAGGAATCCCAGGTATGGACATTTAAAGTCAATCAGATAAAAATAAAGAGCTCTGGGATGTAAGATAAAAGGCTTTTTTTATTAACTGCTGAGCTTTCGTTAACAACCTGTTAACATCATCAGAGCAAAGGGCTAAATGAGAAGGGGGAGCATGTGCATAAATTTTAACAGTTAAAAAACAGTTGAAGTGAGGCATGTGCACATTGTGCCCAAGAAGCTCTTAAAGGCATAGAGCAGTCAGTCTCAAGACCATTTTAAAAGTCGCGCTTGTCAGCTGTTTGGCGCGTAGATCCAGCATGCCTTTTAGCCAGCCTCTTGGATTGTATAGTTTGTTTGGTGTAGGGTTGTTGTGTGTGTGTGTTTTGTTGGGTACGGTTATTTGGAATGTTTGTGTGTGTTCGTTTGTTATGCTTATTAGTTGTGGGTGGTTTTGTGGTGTTTGGGAATTGGGCTGTAATATTTTGTTCCATTGAATGTGATAAGTCATATTTCATTGTAGGGAGGAGTTTTGGTCTTGGTCTTAATATTCTGTTGTTACTTAGGTGTTGTGTGTGTATGTTTTGTTGTGTGTGAGTATCTTGTGAGGTTGCAGGATTTATGTTTTGGATGTTTGTGTCCTGGATGTTGTGGTCAGGGGGGTTGTTGTTTCTGTGTGTGAGAATATCAGAACATGGTGTGTTGGTTGTGTGAGTTGTCATGGTTGTGTTAGAATTATATTCTTTAGTTAGGTTTGATGAAAAGGATTGTGTTGTAGAAAGGATATCTATTGTGTTGGTTTGGGGTTTGATAAGTGGCTGGGGTGGTGTTTTTGTGTTATTATTGGTTGGGTTGAAGTGTTTAGGTACTTTATGTTTTTGTAAATGTCTTTTTAGGGTTTGGTAAGGAGGTAGTAGGTCTATGTGTCTATTAATAGAATGACAGTCTGAAAACCAAGCTTCTTTTAAAAGACGGCCTCCTTTGGTGGAATCATGAGCAATGACTTCTGCTCCTTTAAAGTTGAAAGTGTGGCCATGCTCAGCTATATGGGTCCAGACTTGGGAGCGCTGTTCTTGTCTTCTTACTGCCAAAACATGCTCATGTATTCTGGTCTTAAGTCTTTTTGATGTTTCTCCAATGTAGTTACATTGGCATGTGTTGCAGTTGATCTTGTATACGATGGAGGACAAATCACTGATTGGTAATGCTTCTTTGGGTTGCATCAACTGGGAACGTAACGTTTGGTTGGGTTTATGTGCTATGTTGATATTGTATGGGGCAAGGATCCTGGCGGTTGCTTCTGAGACTCCATTGATGTATGGGAGTGTTGCCCAAGTTGTATTCGTTGGAGCATTGTAGTTTGAGTGTGGTGTTTTATCTTTGCAGCAACGTTTGATGAAGCTTGGTGGGTAATTATTTTGTTTGCATATGCTGAGAAGGTATGCTTTCTCTTTAGATTTTGCTGTTTCTGTGCTGCAGTGGGTCTTGATTCTTTTGAATAAAGTTCTTAAACAGCTGATTTTATGCGATATAGGGTGATTGCTTTGGTAGTGGAGAATTCTATCAGTGTGAGTGGTTTTGCGATAGACGGTGGTTGATAGGTTGCCATCTGGAAGGCGATGGACCAAGACATCCAGGAAGGGTAAGGTGTTGTTGTCCTCCTCTTCTGCTGTAAATTGGATGTCTGGATGGAATGAATTCAGTTTCTGTAAGAATTTGGTGGTATCACATCGCTTAATGACTGCAAAGGTGTCGTCCACATACCTAACCCAAAAACTAGGTTGATAATCAGCCATGACAACACGTTCTAGATCCTGCAGTACTGCTTCAGCGATGATGCTTGAAATGGGTGACCCCATGGGTGTGCCCTTCACTTGTTCATAAGTTGTGTCTTTGTAAGTAAAATAAGTTTGAAGGCAGAAACCCAGTAATTGTATGTAGTCCTCTGTGCTAGGAGAATTGGGGTGTTGTATTTCTCCTTTTTGCAGAAGGTTTCTAAAAATAGAGATGGCTAGATTTTGGGGAATGGATGTGAAGAGGGATACTACATCAAATGAGATCATGATTTCATCGTCTCTAACCTTTAATGTACGTAATTTCATCAAAAAATCTTCAGAGGATTTCACCGTGGTTAGGGAGTCACTGATCAGGTGTTTGAGTTTTAAGTTTAACCACTTTGCTAGGCCATAGGTGGGTGTACCTCTGAAAGATACGATAGGTCTTAAAGGAACTCCTACCTTGTGGATTTTGGGGAGTCCATATATACGTGCCATGGCCGTGTCTCTGGGTCGGATGGATCTGTGGTCTTCGTCTTTTATTCTGTTTTGTCTCTTGAGTCTGTTTAAAGTGTTGTTAAGTCGGTTGGTGAGTGATGTCATAGGATCTTTGTTGGTGATGCGGTATGCAGTTTTGTCATTAAGTAGATCAAGGATTTTCTGGTCATAATCATGTTTATTTAAAATTACTGTAGATCTACCTTTATCAGCTGGGAGGATGATGATGGATTTGTCTTTTCTTAGATCCTCTAAAGCTCTGCTTTCAGATTTTGGTAACGTGTGGTATGTTCTGTGGTTGATAAGTAGTCCTGATATTCGTTGCCTGATGGTGTTTTTAATGTCTTCACTGCTTTCGATGCGGTGAATGATTGGTTCAAATGAAGCTGCGAAATCAAGGTGTTTGGCATCCTTAAGGTTGGTACCAGGATCACGTTGTAACAGTGAGGTTTGTTGACTGGTCAAGGTCCTAGATGAAAGGTTGTGTACCAATTTTTCAAGGACTTCTTTCTTGTTTGAGGTGATTAAGCTTTCAGTTTTTCTTTGAAGTATCTCTGTTTTGCGCTGTCGTGTTTTTTGGGTTGTGTGGTATATTAAGAGGTTGAGGATGTTGAAATGTTCTTGGGTGAGGATGGATCGGCATTGTTCACGATGGTGCTGGATTCTGGTAGTTTGGGCATCAATGCGTCTGTGATGGTGATTAATCATGGCACGCATGATGCGGCGTTGGAACTGCCAAACTGCTGCATAACCTTCTGGTGATTTAATTGGAGGCTTCTTGCATAAAGATTTTGGTGGGAGGTTGTTGTGGATGCAGTTATGTAAAAAAGCTAGTTGTTCATAGCTGGTAGTCTTGCGTTTGGATAAACTCTCCCAATATCTGGCTTGTTGTAATACTGCCCGTCCATATGTGTCTTTAATAATTTTGAATATAGGAATCCCAGGTATGGACATTTAAAGTCAATCAGATAAAAATAAAGAGCTCTGGGATGTAAGACAAAAGCCTTTTTTTTTATTAACTGCTGAGCTTTCGTTAACAACCTGTTAACATCATCAGAGCAAAGGGCTAAATGAGAAGGGGGAGCATGTGCATAAATTTACATAACTGTTAAAAAAACAGTTGAAGTGAGGCATGTGCACACATTGTGCCCAAGAAGCTCTTAAAGGCATAGAGCAGTCAGTCTCAAGACCATTTTAAAAGTCGCGCTTGTCAGCTGTTTGGCGCGTAGATCCAGCAAGCCTTTTTAGCCAGCCTCTTGGATTGTATAGTTTGTTTGGTGTAGGGTTGTTGTGTGTGTGTGTTTTGTTGGGTATGG